AAAAGAGGCAGTGAAAAAGAAACAGGCCCTCTACAAGATGGATTGACACAGGGCTCAACTGTAGGCAAGGTCGTGAGGCTGGTGCACCACTAGGCAGTGTCTCTTGTTAGCCACAGGGTTGCTATGAAGTGGAATCAAGTGTAGGGCAGCAGAGACAAGATACCTTATTAACTGTCGCTTGGGAAGGTAATTGAACATGTCACCTTGGGATGTTATTATGGATACAACACTTTCAAATCTACGCAAAGTTACAAACATACTTAAGAACTTTTGGAAAGAATTAAAACTTCCAAAATAAACAGAGCTTTGAAAGAGTTAATATCCTTAAATAAGGATGGCAGGCATTTAGTAGGGAGTCACATAGTAAATCTTTCAGGCTTTCCAGATCCTGTGGCCTCTGTCACAATTATTCAATTTTGCACTGTAGTTCAAAAGCAACCATACATAAAAATGTGGTTATGAGTATGTCAACAAGATTAACTAGCTTGTTGGCTTTGATCTAATGGCTATAGGTTGTGACTCCTGCTCTAGATGTTAGAAAACATAAGTGATGCAGGTTCTACCTGAATAAGAGTTATGTTGCTGTTCCTACACCATTCACACAATTGTTGCTAGGTACTATTGAGTAGGTTCCGACTCACACAACCCTATGCACACAGGCGAAACAGCCCGATCCTAAGTCATCCTACAATTGTCCCTCTGAGTGATCATATCAACCACAGGGTCAATTCATCTCATTAAGTGCTTCCTATTTTGCACCACCTTTACCACGCATGATTTCTTTTTCCAGCAACTGGTCTCTCCTGACATATAAGTATGTGAGATGAAAAGTATGTAAGATGAAAGCTGGCCATCCTTAACTCTAAGGAGCACTCTGGCCACATTTCTTCCAAAACAGACCCCTTTGTCCTTATAGCAGTCCCTGGTAGGTATTTTCAATATTTTTCTAAGGCACCACAATTCAACTGCCTCAATATTTCTTCAGTCTTCATTATGCAATATCAAACTTTCACATGCATCTGAAATTTAAAGTACAATGGCTTGGGTCAGGCACATCATAATCTTCAGAGAAACACCCTTTCTTTTCAATATTCCATGAGCAATGCTTTTTGAAACCAAACAAGACGAACTCCTTGACAACTTCAATCTTTTCTCAACTTATCCTGATTGGTCCAGTTGTGAGTATTTTGGTCTTCTTCTTTTTTTAATAAGGAACATTTCATAAATTTGCATGTCATCCTTGCATAGGGGCTATGCTAAACTTCTCTGGATCATTCCAATTTTAGCATATGTGCTGCCAAATGGAGCATGCTTTTGGTCTTCTTTACATTGAGTTGTCTTCCATACTGAAAACTGAAATTCTTGATCTTCATCAGGAAGTGTTTCAACATGCTCCTCACTTTTATCAAGCAAATTGTCTCATTTACAAATAGCAGGATGTTAATAAGCCTTCCTTCAATCCTGATGCCACATTCTTCTTCATCTCAGCCAACTTCTCTGATTATTTTCTCAGCATACAGATCAAACAATTATGGTGAGAGGACACAAGCCTAATTCACACCTTTCTTGACGTTAATCCATGCAGGATGTCCTGGTTCTGCTTATGCAACTTCTTCTTAATCCATCTCCAAGTTCTTCATGAGCACATTGAAGTGTTTTGGAATTCCCATTCTTCTCAAGACTATACATGTGATCCACACAGCCAACGACCTTGGTATAGTCCATAAAACACAATTCATCATCCTTCTGGTATTATCTGTCTTGAACCAAGATCCATCTTACCTCACTCATGGTATCCCTTGTTTTACTTCCTTTTCTGGATCAACCCTGAATCACTTGCAGGTCCCTGTCAATGAATTGTTGAAACTATTGTTGGATAATCTTCAGCAAAATTTTACTTGCATGTGATATTAATGATAATGTTATATTATTTGAACATTCTTTTTGGTCACTTTTCTTTGGAATGGGTACAAATATGAATCTCTTTCAGTCAGTAGACAAAGTAGGTGATGTAAAAGTTATATGCTTCACTATAATTATTTTTTCTTACACTCTCAGGCATCATACAAGTATTATAATATAAATGTGAAAATACACTTTTCTATTTTATTTCTTTCTGAAACTGTGCCATTTTAATGAAAGAAAGTAAAGACAGAATAATGATTGTTTTATGGCTCTATTATTGTTTTATTTTTATTGTTTTTATTTTTTTATTTATTATTTATTATAATTATTGCTTTATTGTTTCATTCTCAATCAGAATGTATATAGAGGGTCTTCTGTCAATTGCATAATTTTTTATTAAAAAATCTGTGGATTATTGAAGAAAATACCATTAAAGTATGCACATTTTCCAATAGCTTCAGTAGATGGCTACATATTTTCAAACAATTAAAACATCATCTTCATCCTCAAAATGCCCACAAAATACTCTTCTAATATGGTATGAGAACAGCTATTGGTACCCAGAATAAGAGTCCAGAATTGACTGTCACTGTTTTAGCCAAATACACAGACCAGGTAGATTTGAGAAACTCTAAGTTTATTCTTCAAGCTTGAGACTGAAAAAAAAAAAGTGGGGTTTGCCACGTCCAAACTGCTTTGAAAACCCAGTGAGAATTAAGCAAATTATATACCCCAAATTATGTGACAAAGTGCAGGTTTTACAATGATCACAGGAAACTATATTGTACACATACATTTACCAGATGACCAAACCCCAAAACACCATACAGCACTGATTATCCAAATGGTGGATGCTCTGTGCCTGGCTATCTCTTTTAACATCTTTGCTTACTGCCTTCCTTAGTTAGAAGACTCTTCCTACTGATCAAGCTTAAAAGCAATTTATACTCCAAGGGAGGAGACTATTACACTTTGCATTTCCAACAACATAATTTTTAATTATGTTGTATTTCTAATAGTTTGATTAAGAGCAGACTAATTCTCTCCCCCCCTTCTATCACTATGATAGTGTAATATACAGTAAGTTATGGGAGACTTAAGATATCCTAGT